ACTTGGTTCAATCAGTCCTTGTGGGAGTTAAGATCACCTAAACTTCATTTCATTTACAATGTGATACTAGACTTTGTCTGATTTGGACTATTTTCTATTTCAGTCTACCTTCCTACAATATGGGATATCCATGTTTTGGAGAATGGTGACGAACTGAGCATTGCCTCTGTAGCTTATGTTGATGTCCGATAAGACTTTAATCAGGCCGCTAACTTCAGATTTAAACTTACTAAAGCCTTGGTTGCAGACGTACAGATAACCCACAGCAAACGTAGAACTTGCTGTTACATAGTTGTTTTGCAACATAAACTTCTTTGTCGAATAAAAATAGTAAAAGATACTGAACTCCGTTACTCTGTTACTATTTATTTTGATCACTTGTTTGTTTGGATAACAAGGGTAGATTCAAATAATCATTTGAAAATTGCATCTAATAAACTTTGGGTGTTTTTTCTTTAACGGGTAATGGTCTCGATAAAGTCATCTCTCTTGAAATTCCACCCGACCAAGACATAGATAGTGAATACCATTATTGAAACAACACTATGTAGACAGAATTATAATTTTAGTTTTCCTTAATATATAGGGGAATTGAAAATACCCTTGTTTGCCTTATATATTTCCAACCCTCACCCAAAACGCATTGATGCGAGCCCCACCCTCAAATTTTTCTTGGACCAAAGCAGTTGATTGGATGAATATTATATGAACCATAACTTGAGATTCAGAACAATTTTGTCAGATCATGAATGGGAAGAAGAGTCATCCTTGACAGAAACGCGAAAAGCAAATCCAAATTTGCGTTTTATTCAGATTAATAGAAGTAACTTCCTGTGGATCATTCTGAACTTATTCAAACAAACCAGTCTATTTGTAGAATATTGTAGAACATACTGTATGTTGAGTTCTGTGTAAAACCATATAGCGTACTTCCTTTAGGTTTATTTATAACATTTTAATTATTTTATCAATGAAAAAACGAGGATTTTATAAACTTGTAGCTTGTCATTCATAAATATCATATTTCTTGATAAATATTCTTCGTTGGTTGGTAGGTGACAGGTTAACATTGTTAGTTTGGTAGTAGTCAGCCCTGTCGTTAGGATGGGGTTTGTGGGGGCCCAGCAAGTAAGAATTAAGCAAAACCTTCATCAGTTCAAAAGAGATTGATTCATTTACAGTGTCTTTGTACAAAATTTTGTTGTTCATAATTCGTGAGATCTGGTCGGTCGATAGTCCGAAACATCTTCCTCTATTCCAGCCTCTGACGGATATTTTGACAGTTGTCAGCTGGTAGAGACAGAAAAAAAGAGAACCTGTTAAATGGGGATTTTTTACACCTCCGATTTCGTTTTGTTAGTATCACGTGACTCTGTGGCCTTTGAACTTTTGATGCACACGCATTTTTAAATGGCCGATGCTAGATAGTTTCTTTGAAAGAAAGTTTGATAGAACTACAGACGTGATATAAATAGCTTAGGTATGACTGAACTACAAAAATATTCATCTTTCCAAATATGCAGATCCGAGGCATCTGAACAGGTTTAAAATTGTGCACTTGTGAAGATGCGGAATGTCCCCATTTAATAGGATCTATTTTTTCTGCCTCTACATCAGCCAACATCTGTCATAAAGCAGTGGCGAAGCCAATCGCTACCAAATTTGTATCACTCTTCTTTAAAGAAGGTTTGGAAAGTCTTTTCATTGGCCTCAGACCACAGAAAATCTCACTCTTTCCCGTTTGAGAAAACAAATTTCTCTTTTAATAATAGATCTGACATTAAATCTATTTCTGACTGTGATTCAAGAAATGGGAAGGGATATCATGCAAGATTTGACACATGAAGCAGAAGAATATGCCTAATAAAAGTTGTTTATTCCAAAAATAACAAATATATGCTCTAAATAACAATATATCAATAACAACATTGTAAATGGATAACAAATGTAAATATATGGACGGTTTGAATAACCTGACTAATTTTCCAGAATATGATATTCAACTGAATATTATACACTCTATCTCCCACTCTCACTCTCTCACACTTTACGCCTCTCTCACACTCACACTATCACACCCTCATAAATATATTTCCAAATTGTTATAATATAATATAGCCTGTCACTCTTCCAATCTTTCACTCTTTCACACAAACTCTCATTCTGACTAAACATGCCGACATTGTGCCGGTAATCTGCTGACTCTTTCGTATGACAACCCCTCTCAGACTTAGTCCCAAATATTTTCATCTAGATGTATCGCCAACCACTACCAGTCTCGCTCTCAGACTTAGTCCCAAACAGTTTCATCTAGATGTATCGCCAACCTCTAGCAGACTCGCCGCTCTTGACCCCAAAATTCTGCATGAACACTGTTAACCAATTTATTCTTCAGCAGTCTTGAGGCACTTAAAAGATCTTCGAATGAATCGTCTGCAAGATTTTAAAAACCCTCTTTTACACTTTTCTGTTTGAACTGAAAAAAAGGAAATCAATGAATGTAAGGAAGGTACTAGATTGGTTCCTGAGATAGAATCTAATCCACGTCTGCTGACTGAAAAACAACCGCTATTCCAATCGACCTCTTGGTCTTTAGGATTAGTAAAAGTCTACATGTCTTCCTTCTCTTCCGGTAGCCCTAGCATCATTGGGTAACGGACTTATTTTCTGTTGAAAAAAACCTTTAAGAATATGTAACCTAGTCATATTATCTGGTTTCTTTAGCAACGGTATGATTAATATTCACATCTAACTGATCATTATCATCGTACCATTGTTAAAGGAACATGTCATATTATATACTATTATGAAGGTTTAAGGCGTCTGCGACTATGATTTTGACAATCCTATACCAAGTTCTAACAATGTAAATTTATAATAACCACTCTAGTACTATTAGTATTATTCCAATTCACTGTTCGACAGTGTTACTGTAATTCCAACAAGACTTGATAAGATGATAGTGACACCATTTGGTCATGATTGTCTGGAATTACAGAAACCACATCTTCAGAAGATTTTTAATACAACCATTTTTAATAATCTTACCTCTTACAACGTTAGCAGAAGCTCCACCGTTCAGACAATCAGCCGTTCCACTTAGTCTAGAGTTGGAAGGTTCGTTATTCCCCATTACATGATGAACATTGAACTTAATCTCTGATACTTCATCTATAAACAAAATAAAAGCGAAAAAATGTAGGCCAATGACGGTAGAAAGCTAAATGAATTCGTTGATACCTAGAGGAGCCAGGGTTTTGAGCTTTCGCCGTTCTCTGTATGATGGGAACAGAGAATCCGACAGCTCTGGCTTCTGGAAGGTGGTAGAATAAACAAAATAATTTACTAATTACTCAAATCAAATACAGAAATCTTAAAACAGTTATACAACTAATTCTTTTATACAATCGTGTAATAAATCTTCATTAAGACTGATGGAATGTCGATTACTTTTTGCGTTTTCTGTCGTAACAATCAAAATGGTTTTAAATTATATTAGATCTAGGCTACCTTCATACTTGGCGACCTTTGAAATACCAATAAGCTGAAGGAATCTCTGGACAAATCCAGGCTCAGCTTCTACTTGTTTATCAACTGGTTTGTCGTCTAGAAATCCAAAGAATTCCCTCTCATAGTATTGGTACTCTTCGACCGTCATGGGCGGTATAGTGTAGTCCGGGATTTCACCAAAACAATATGGTGGACGGGACATATATTTCTTGGACATCCTGAAATAAACCAACAAATTGTAAATCGTTCAGTTTCGTAAATCATTTAGAGTTGTTATCCCTGGTCCATCTGAATTCGAAAATATTCAGTTTTAGGCATTATGAAAAGTTTCCTATGCGATGTATTGATTCCAAAATGACAATTTTTAAGTATTTTAGACCAGCCCATTTGCAATATACCTATTATAATCGATCAATGGGAGGTTTTGTGATAAAATTGATCAGTTTGTATTAGTATCTCACCTTAAAATCCAGAAAAATGCTTAAAAATCTCGGAGAAACTTGTAAACACGTCTTTTCAGCAATATAATATAGTTTGCTAATGACGTCATACTATTGTATTATGTATTTTAATTGTAACGTCATAATTGACGACCTTTGAACTCGTCCTCTCCTCTCAATTTTAGTTACGTTAAAGATCCCTCGAAAGTTGGAATCGAGCGGCTAATGCCACTGCCCTGGCAAAATTTCCCTCGTTCTACCCTGCATGGCGTTGCCCGTCTTCATTAGCCCACATGGTGCAGAAAAGCAGGACGTAAAACTCCATTCATTTATCAATTTTAGTTATCTTTATCAAAGGACTTGTCTCGATCCGTTGGAAATATTGTTATTTTCCCCATTCAAAGTGTATTTTAAATGTTGGACTTTCAATAGTTTGTAAACGGCAAAAATATCATGAAATACACCGCGTATATATAATCATCAACATAATAAAATTGGATGGATTTTGCGAACTAGGTTTGGACATGTAAATAGAGGAATCTTTAGTGAGTTCGAAGATGATGAATTATTGATTCTTTCTCCGTCATTTTTACCAGTGATTACGGCTACCGTCTAGATGTTTTCAACGATTTTATATGGCAAAAATACCATGAAATGCAGTGCCAATAGGCTTCATTTATAATTGTCAACATTTTTATGCATGAATTTTGCAGCTATGTTTCATGTAACTTCTAACTTTTTTTTTATTTTTAAAATTATCTCAAAGTAAACTGAAAATAAAAGTTATACGGACTCACTCCACTTAAATATTTTATGGAGTTGATTGGAAATGATTCTATTACGAATGTAGTCCAGGCTATTTTTAGAAATCTTCTTTCTCTCTCCCTTTTGGGGTTTTTGCATCTCACTCTTTCCCGTTTGAGAAAACAAATTTCTATTTTATAAAAGATCAGACATTAAATCTATTTCTGACTGTGATTCAAGAAATGGGAAGGGATGTCATGCAAGATTTGACACATGAAGCAAAAGAATATGCCTAATAAAAGTTGTTTATTCCAAAGATAACAAATATATTCTCTAAATAACAATATATCAATAACAACATTGTAAATGGATAACAAATGTAAATATATGGACGGTTTAAATAACCTGACTAATTCTCCAGAATTTGATATTCAACTGAATATTACACACTCTATCACACTCCCTAACACTCTCTCCCACTCTCTCACACTATCACACTATCACACTCTCTCACTATCACACTCTCTCACACTATCACACCATCTCTCACTCCACACTCACACTCTCTCACACTATCACACTCTCACCCTCACTCTCAGTCTCACACCCTCGGACCCTCATAAATTGTTATAATATAATATAGCCTGTCACTCTTCCAATCTCTCACTCTTTCACACAAACTCTCATTCTGACTAAACATGCTGACATTGTGCCGGTAATCTGCTGACTCTTTCGTATGACAACCCCTCTCAGACTTAGTCCCAAATATTTTCATCTAGATGTATCGCCAACCACTACCAGTCTCGCTCTCAGACTTAGTCCCAAATATTTTCATCTAGATGTATCGCCAACCACTACCAGTCTCGCTCTCAGACTTAGTCCCTAACAGTTTCATCTAGATGTATCGCCAACCACTACCAGTCTCGCTCTCAGACTTAGTCCCAAACATTTTCATCTAGATGTATCGCCCACCTCTAGCAGACTCGCGACCTATTGACCCCAAAATTCTGCATGAACACTGTTAACCATTTATTCTTCAGCAGTCTTGAGGCACTTAAAAGATCTTCGAATGAATCGTCTGCAAGATTTTAAAAACCCTCTTTTACACTTTTCTGTTTGAACTGAAAAAAAGGAAATCAATGAATGTTAGGAAGGTACTAGATTGGTTCCTGAGAAAGAATCTAATCCACGTCTGCTGACTGAAAAAAAAAACGCTATTCCGGTCGACCTCTTGGTCTTTAGGATTAGTAAAAGTCTACACGTCTTCCTTCTCTTCCGGTAGCCCTAGCATCTTTGGGTAACGGACTTATTTTCTGTTGAAAAAATCCTTTAAGAATATGTAACCTAGTCATATTATCTGGTTTCTTTAGCAACGGTATGATTAATATTCACATCTAACTGATCATTATCATCGTACCGTTGTTAAAGGAACATGTCATATTATATACGATTATGAAGGTTTAAGGCGTCTGCGACTATGATTTTGACAATCCTATACCAAGTTCTAACAATGTAAGTTTATAATAATCACTCTAGTACTATTAGTATTATTCCAATTCACTGTTCGACAGTGTTACTGTAATTCCAACAAGACTTGATAAGATGATATTGACACCATTTGGTCATGATTGTCTGGAATTACAGAAACCACATCTTCAGAAGATTTTTAATACAACCATTTTTAATCATCTTACCTCCTTGATCAGTTTTTACAACCTCTTCAGTTTGTGTGGCCTTGTTTGCCGTTCTTACAACGTTAGCAGAAGCTCCACCGTTCAGACAATCAGCCGTTCCACTTAGTCTAGAGTTGGAAGGTTCGTTATTCCCCATTACATGATGAACATTGAACTTAATCTCTGATACTTCATCTATAAACAAAATAAAAGCGAAAAAATGTAGGCCAATGACGGTAGAAAGCTAAATGAATTCGTTGATACTTAGTGAAGCCATGGTTTTGAGCTTTCGCCGTTCTCTGTATGATGGGAACAGAGAATCCGGCAGCTCTGGCTTCTGGAAGGTGGTAGAATAAACAAAATAATTTACTAATTACTCAAATCAAATACAGAAATCTTAAAACAGTTATACAACTAATTCTTTTATACAATCGTGTAATAAATCTTCAATCAGACTGATGGAATGTCGATTACGTTTTCTGTCGTAACAATCAAAATGGTTTTAAATTATATTAGATCTAGGTTACCTTCATACTTGGCGACCTTTGAAATACCAATTAGCTGAAGGAATCTCTGGACAAATCCAGGCTCAGCTTCTACTTGTTTATCAACTGGTTTGTCGTCTAGAAATCCAAAGAATTCTCTCTCATAGTATTGGTACTCTTCCACCGTCATGGGTGGTATAGTGTAGTCCGGGATTTCACCAAAACAATATGGTGGACGGGACATGTATTTCTTGGACATCCTGAAATAAACCAACAAATTGTAAATCGTTCAGTTTCGTAAATCATTTCGAGTTGTTATCCCTGGTCCATCTGAATTCAGAAATATTCAGTTTTAGGCTTTATGAAAAGTTTCCTATGCGATGTATTGATTCCAAAATGACAATTTTTAAGTATTTTAGACCAGCCCATTTGCAATATACCTATTATAATCGATCAATGGGAGGTTTTCTGATAAAATTGATCAGTTTGTATTAGTATCTCACCTTAAAATCCAGAAAAATGCTTAAAAATCTCGGAGAAACTTGTAAACACGTCTTTTCAGCAATATAATATAGTTTGCTAATGACGTCATACTATTGTATTATGTATTTTAATTGTAACGTCATAATTGACGACCTTTGAACTCGTCCTCTCCTCTCAATTTTAGTTACGTTAAAGATCCCTCGAAAGTTGGAATCGAGAGGCTAATGCCACTGCCCTGGCAAAATTTCCCTCGTTCTACCCTGCATGGCGTTACCCGTCTTCATTAGCCCACATGGTGCAGAAAAGCAGGACGTAAAACTCCATTCATTTATCAATTTTAGTTATCTTTATCAAAGGACTTGTCTCGATCCGTTGGAAATATTGTTATTTTCCCCATTCAAAAATATCATGAAATACAGAGCGTATATATAATCGTCAACATAATAAAATTTGATGGACATGTAGATAAAGGGATAATTGACGACCTTTGAACTCGTCCTCTCCTCTCAATTTTAGTTACGTTAAAGATCCCTCGACAGTTGGAAATCGAACTTGCAAAATTTCCCTCATTGCATCCTGCATGGCGTAGGAAAGTAGGACGTAAAACTCCATTTATTTCATTTCATTTATCTTTTATTCATGGTGTACAATAAGGCAGACTTTTTTACGTAGTGCCCAGATATTCACGGGCTGTCTGAAACATGTGTAAGGTACGGGCGGATTTAGTCGTAACTTACGGGCACCCATAACTTACGTGTGATTTACAACTGCTGAGTCTGTATTCAAATTTTGGCTACTCTGTGTTTGTGTCATGACCACAAGCCTCTCATTGAGCGTCTTAAAGAGTTCTCTCAAGAACATTTCAGAAAAAATGAATTGATTTTGTGCATTCTGACACATATTTTGGAGAAAAAAAGGTAGACATTTAGACTTGTTGAAAATAAAGTGGGGGTACAATTGGAGGTACAAACCACTTTTCAAGGGGGGTAAATGGTTAAAGTTTTATGTAACGTTTCGACGTATGTTCGTGTTCACCCAGGTTACTAGGTAAGTACGCTGTATAGACACAACATCTACAACAACAATCACTGGTTACCGTTTTTTGTAACGTTTCGACGTGTATCTCTCGTCGTTCCCCAGCACAAAACGTACAACAACAAGAAGTTATATTTGTAAGTTTATTATTATAATAGAGTTTTGTAAAGAAAACAATAAAAGTTGATTATAAACAGTAGAAGTTATAATATTGACACGAGTCTCTAATCTTCTATAAAATATCATTACGAATTGACTATAAATCAATAAAATACATCATTTCAAAACTTAGTAATAATATATGGTGTAAAATATCTAAATCTTGAATTCTGATAGTTCTATGAGCTAAAGATAGTACAATACAGAACCCCCCTCTCATATATAAAAGAGAGTCGACATGTACTCCGTGTATTTGGTTTTTCAATTTTCTACAGATTGTCGGTTTTGTTTTAAAACCAAATAAAGTCTTTATCATACCCTAATACCACCACCTCCCAGAGTTGATGTCTACTTCTTCTAATGAATATAACTTAATATTTCACACAGACTTGCCTTGTTGTGTACAGTGTCTAGTTTTCTAACGTCTGTTTAGTTTTAAAACCAAATTAAAGAGATTGTAAAGAGGTTTTCTAATTTTTTTTATGTGTATCAGAGACACTGTGAGCATCAATTTACATCATTCCAATTTTCTATCAGACGTCTGTGTTTCCTTTTTACAATTCCTTTAAGTCTTTATCATATAATTACCTGGTGAATATAATCTATAGATGACCAAATAAATCACCTTTGACCTTGACCTTGTATATTCTAACAATCATTTCATTAATAAAAACTTAACAGAATATATACATAATTCTACAAAATTATACATTGTATCACAGATTGATATAGAAAATAAATATGGGTATATACAATGGTGTAGTTGGGCAAATAGTTCTGCTCATCTCAGTCTAATACAAAACATTAACACAAGCAGTTCTTGTCTTAAGCAGACCATGCTTACTCTTTTCAAAACACCTGATGGTACTTCTCTTTGGAGGATTCTACTACTATACAACTTTTACTCTCGATTTTGCCATTCTTTGGACGAGATTTTGATTAACGGAATTGTCCTGTTTGTACAGATTTATAAATAATAATAGAAAGTATACAGAGTAAACTTATATTGTATTGATTATTACTTTAACTACCTATTAATATCAATAAACAGCTTGTGCTATGTTTTGTATAGAATCGAGATGAACACTAATATCTTAACCCTAGATTAAAATACACACTGAACTGATCTAGCTATATGAGACTAACAGTTTATATAGAGTAGGCTATATAATACAGTGTCGTATTGCACCCTTTTAAAACCATTCTTAGCAATACTTAATTATTACACAGATTAAAAACATAGAATTTAATACACACATTTGTGACAAAAATTATAAAGCACGTTTGATTTCGAACTGTCTCAGTAGAAAACAATAAAATCTTACAAATATATACTGCACTGCATCTAGCAGCTAACATCTAAAAAAAACATATAAAAATTAATTCTGCATGACCTCATAACTTAAAGTGTGTGCTTGGCTTTATAAAAACTCATAAGTCAATTCTTAAGCTAAAAATAATTAAACAAGCAACGATTAACACCCCTGATTAGCAAATGAACTGTTCTAAACAACCACAGCACTGCACCATATTAATAGAAAGAATGCATGTGTGGAAGAGTCAATAAATATTTCAGGGGTGTTAAATAGATGACTGCCCAACTAAATACAGACACACAATATATATTGCTTTCATTTGTTTTTGAGCCACTAATTTATACAGAAAAATTAAATTACGTTTTAAAAATAACCCCAAAGTTCCAGGTTGAAGCTCTTGCCTGACTTGATCTTTATAACTCTAGTTTAAAATAATAAAAAATGTATGAATAATAATAATATTCAACAAATAACAAGTTTTCTAACAAAAATAAAGCATGTTATTATTCTAAATTGATATTACTTATAAATATTACTATAAAACAGTATTTGGTCCCAGGGAAACCATTTCCTTGTTAAAAACTACATTTTCAACACAAAATAACAATAAATACACGAGAAGAGCTCCTTTAGGTTGACCTCCGTCTTCATTATCCAACATGGTGTAGAAAAGTAGGATGTAAAACTCCATTTCCTGTAAGCTGCCGACAATATGGTCTGATTGTTGAAATACTTATAATAACCAAGTGTTTTTTTTACAGTGTCATCAGGAATATAATGAATTAATATCATAATTATTTTTCTTGAAATTTCAATTAACCAATTAAATTTCATTTGATTTTTTTTTCATTATTATTAACCAATCAAATGTCTTAGAATCATTATTCTCATTACATCAACCAATCAAATCTCACGAATGATTCAATCATTGTTAAATTAAGTTTCTGACAACAATGTGTGGTCATGAACTTTGAACTTAAAAGGGTTAAAATTGCTTTAAGTAAAATGATTGTAAAGAGGTTTACTAAATTTTGTATGTGTATCGGGAACACTGATAGCATCAATTTACACCATTCAAATTTTCAATCAGGCGTCTGTGGTTCCTGCAATTCTACAAAGACTAAGTGTTTGACAACACAATGGCAAAGGCACTTCTATATTAAAAGCAGCTTTTTTGATTAGTTTCGTCATCAAACAACACTTAGGTTTAGTGGACCATAGACGTCTCATTGAAAATTGTAAATGTTACAAACTGTGTCATCGATACACATAAAATATTTAGAAAAACTCTTCCCAATCTCTTCAGGTGTATAAATCTATCAAGAAAAGAAGTTATTATTTGTTAATTGTAATCGTTGTAATGGATGCCATCTGGTGTCTTCCTGTGATAGATCTAAATCATGTAATTTAAGATAGACGGCGCCCAGGAAGTTGTTCTCTCCCAGTCTATCGTGGTCCCAGACTGTAACTTGTAACATACGGAATCTAATCTGTTCTAATGACATCTTATATTCTAACTATAAATAGAAAATAGAAAAACTGGGATTACTCAGGGATCATATTTTTTGGTTATCAAATAATTGATAAGGATTATGATATGGTTTCAAGATCTAAAGGAGTAGTTGGGCATTCCCCAGGCTTGATGAATTGTGGGATTGTGAAACTCTAAGTATTCCAATATGACAACCTCTTAAGAGTTTTCCTTTACCACAATTCTTCCTAATTATCAACAATAGAATCAAACCTTACACCCTTTGCTTGGTTATGATTAAGCTCAATAGAACTTAACTGCTGTAAAATACTTGTTAGATTACAATGGAGACAAAAATATTAGAAAAAATGTCCTACATGACACTCTTTGATTGGTTATAAATAATGTCCTTAGAGCGGGATTTTGAGCTTTATAGTGGTACTTCTTTTTGGAGGAGTCCACTACTATACAACTTTTACTCTTGATTTTGCCATTCTTTAGATGAGATTTTGATTGACAGAACTGTCTTGCTTGCATGGATTTTTATTTTTAGATTACAATGATTAAAATGTAATATAATTTTGATTTGATTGTTGGGGTAGTACCTGGCTATGCCTCCACAGCTCCATAAAAAGATAAAGAATTTAAACATACCAGTTCATTATATGTAGGATTAGCTGAACTTCTAGCAATTTTAGTTTTACGTTTTGTTTGTTTATCTGGGTCAGGTAATAAATACGTCTTAACGTAGGGACTGGGTAAATCTGTTCCTCGACTTGGCTGAAACAAATTATTTTATAATGTTACTTTTACAATATATTATAGAATATTTATATATCTCTAACTTGTTCTCTGTGTCAGGCAGATTCAATTTTATTCTGTTTCTCACCTAAATGAATTTTAATCTAAATTGATAAACCAAAAAATGAAAATTATTAAAACTAATTTCTTATCAAAAAGCAAACCCTGATTACAATAGTTATTTGAATTGATTAACTAAAAATCAAGAATCAAAATACGTATGACCAATACCTAATGATCATTTAGGCCATTTTTCTTAATCTAAATGAAACTGTGATTAATGTAAACAGTTATTTTAAACCAATCACTCACCAGGTTTCTAACGTGTATTATCATCACGTGAAACTTATCTTTTTTATAATGTAACGATAATTTAATTTCACCTTGGATACCAGAAGTTATAGAGTTAGTAGGGGTCACCACTGGTTCTAAAACAAACAAAAATATCATACACAAATGGAATGTTTCCAAATCACCATTTACTTCAGAATTGTCTGTTAGAAGTCATGAAGGTACAAGGATTGAAATCAAGCCCCAACAGAAGGTGTTACAAAACAAAAAAAGATGAAAATAAAAACTCTTTTCATCAGAATGTATGGCAAGTTATTTCCCCTGAAGTTAAATCATCAACAATAAATAATCATCAGTAATTAGTCAGGTAGATTCAAGGATGAGTTAAAAATAAATTCAAGAGAAAATAAAAAAGGATAAAAATGAAAAGTAAACCTCTTAATTTGGAATAATTCATCTTGCTAGCTTCTTCTTGTTCATCACGTAATAACGGGTGAAAAAATGTATAGACTAAATCACACTGGAAATAGAAAGATTTCAATTAAAAAATCTTCCAATATCATTAGGAATAAACTTCTTAATAGATAAGAATAACAATGACTTTATATCCAACATAAGAAAGGATAGATATTACAGGGATTGTAAAGCGGTTTTCTAAATTTTGTACCTGTATGCTTGTATTACATAAGGACCTATGCGATTAGTGACATCATCAAACACTTAGTTTTAGTGGAATTGCAGGAACCACAGACGTCAGAATGAAAATTGGAATGGTGCAAAATGATGTTATCAGTGTCTCCGAAAAATTCACAATCCATTTAAGACATATTTGTCCAATGATTTTAGATAGATTTTAAAAAGCAGGTAATATATCAAATATTGTAAAATTACCTGGGATATTTCTGGTGCTTTTATTAACAATGATTCCAGGAATTGTTCTATTTCAACTTTCCTGGTTTCTGCTACACTTCTAATATTACTTCTACCTAACACCATTCTATAATAGATAAAACAATAGGGTGTGGTCTTACTCTTCTAGACACCTGATATCACTTTTCATTATTAAATACTTACTCAATTATGATTGATATACCTCCTCATGTGACCAGTTTTGTGCCATGCAGGGTATACTTACTCTTCTACACACCTCATATCACTTTTCATTATGAAATACTTACTCAGTTATAATTGATATACCTCCTCATGTGAAAACTTCATTAGCTACTAATGTATCGCCAATATGTTGTTTTGGATTTTGGGTTTCGTTTTGCTGTTCGGATCGTAAGTACGTGAGACAATTATAAATAAATGTATTCAGACTAACCTGGTAGAGAAATTGGACCACGCTATCAATGGAAACATGGAGGCTAATTTATCACGAAACTCTACAAATTCTTGAAATAAACGGAAGATATACGATGATACTCTCTGGCTTTCACGATCTATTTTTAGAATATAAATCTGAAAGAGAAATAAAAATCAATAGCGAGGTTTGGTAAATTAGTAAAATAAGAAAAACTGAATTCTTTTATTATTTTGTATTTTGCAAGCTGCCAACACATCATTTTTGTCATATACCGAAATTATCTCATTATGAAGAGAAAATAGTGTTTAAAACTTTATCTTAATCTAGTTAGTTTGTTGCTACAGAAATCAATTTTACTTACATAATGTTTATCTGGTGTATATCGTTTTTGTATAGAAAACAACTTGACCCCTATAATTTTACCATCAGTTTGTTGACTGAAAACAGAACAGAAATACTTCATTAACATAAGAACATAGTCTGGGCCGAATTGATTTTTAAGACTCAACGATGATATACTGTATAATTGTGAAAACAGTGCACACCCTTCTTACCCTCAAATATATCTGAAAAATCTTAGTCTCTGATGCCCAGACTATTCCTGTTTATAAAGAGGATATAGTCTGGGAATTACAGCTGAATTTTGTGTAACAAGGCCTTCAACTTCCATCAAGGCTGATAGCCATAATTAAACATCTTCGATCTACAAGTTTCAAACAACTTGTTTACAACATCAACAAAATGACAAGTCCCACAAGTTTTGTTGGTTTGTAAAATTTTACACTTATGTTTAAGAAATCTCATGGAATATTATTTTGTTAATCATGGTCCTTACCTGTAAGTTTTGGGTACGAAAGATAACAAAGCCCCCTCCTGGTGACTTGAGAATTTTAACTGAGCTAGGTTATGAATGAAGAAATTAAATTGAGTAAAAACTGATTTCACACTTTCTTCTATCATTCTGTAAATTAAAAATAAATATCTTGATTAAATGGAACGGAACGGAACGGAGCGGAACGGAACGGAACGGAACGGAACGGAACGGAACGGAACGGAACGGAACGGAACAGAACAGAACAGAACAGAACAGAACAGAACAGAACAGAACAAATTATTTCAAATTTATTCAAAATTGGATAAATAAATGATAAAAAAAAGTTTTGATCCATGGAAAAAGAAGACTGGGATGCTTGGGCAGAGCGAAAGCATTTTTTGACTTTCAAATTGGTCAAAATTAGTAAGTTAGCATTAGGCAATGTATGTCAGTAAGAAATAAAAGTGTTTTTCCTAAGGAAATAAAAGATCTTAACAATCAGGGCGATTATTCTCTGATCAACGAAGACTCTAGTGAAACAAAAATAAATACCTGGTGAACATAGAAGAAGCTTGAGCATCAGTCTGTCCTGGTAATAAAGCTCTCTTCACATATTGAGCAGCATTCTCTGTTACACCGGGAATACCTGATCGTGACATCTACAACAAAACATTTAATATTAATACAGATCGTGACATCTACAACAAAACATTTAATATTAATACAGATCGTGACATCTACAACAAAACATTTAATATTAATATAAATCGTGACATCTACAACAAAACATTTAATATTAATATAAATCGTGACATCTACAACAAAACATTTAATATTAATACAGATCGTGACATCTACAACAAAACATTTAATATTAATATAAATCGTGACATCTACAACAAAACATTTAATATTAATACAGATCGTGACATCTACAACAAAACATTGAAAATTAATACTGTCTCTATGCTTATTTTAATATTTTACCAGCTGATAGAGCTCAATTTAAGTTTTCTGTTAAAATATCTGTCAGATCGTGACATATTTAATATTTCATTGTTTGCAACTATGAAGCCCTTTATTAAAAATGTACAAGAACTCACCAACATAAAAAGACTGTAGAATAAATCATGATGTTTACGGAGGATATTAAAAGCTTGTGAACACAGATCTATAAAATGTTGGAATTTCCCTGTCTGTTTTTCACCGTCGTTGATTACATAAACCATATCAGATGTTAATACAAACGGTACTCTGTCTCTGAATATAAAATAAAACATCCAATTTAAAGTCATTTGAAATTAGTTTGCGTTCTGCCTACATTATTTTGATCAACGTACCTTGTGACCAATTTATTTTGTTACCAATTAATCTTGTGACCAATTTATTTTGTTACCAAAATTCCCTGTCATCACTTTAACTACATTAAAAACCAGTGTGTTCTACTTCTGTACCAATACAATGTTTCAAAAATAGGGATGTGGATTCATTTTGAAGCAGTTGAAAGGTCATTTTCGACAAAAGTTTTGAAAAATAAATTGTTGTTAAAATGTTCACATTCCATAAGACTAGAATAAACTGAAATATTGAGTTTATTCCAACTATAAAATCTCACCTTTTAAAACTCCCAAACATCTGAGTATCACCGAGAAATTTACTGAAATCAATGTGAAAGAGATGACCTGATTGTTTTAACATAATATTATCATTATGTCTATCTCCTACACCTAATACATACGTAGCTACACAATATCCAGCACACGAATACGTAAAATTCTCTACTGCCTGTAAATATACACAGAAAATAAACAAGTAATATAATCATTAGACATTATCAAATTTCAAACCATTCCCAGAAAAATAGAAATGTATCAATCAATTTATGAAAAGTTACAACAATTTCACATTTGGTTCTCATTCTCTCTGCTTGGGATAGATAAATACTGTTGTCATAATAAATACTGGTGTCATGATAAATACTGTTGTCATGATAAATACTGTTGTCATGATAAATACTGTTGTCATGATAAATACTGTTGTCATGATAAATACTGTTGTCATGATAAATACTGTTGTCATGATAAATACTGTTGTCATGATAAATACTGGTGTCATGATAAATACTGTTGTCATGATAAATACTGTTGTCATGATAAATACTGATGTCATGATAAATACTGTTGTCATGATAAATACTGGTGTCATGATAAATACTGTTGTCATGTTAAATACTGTTGTCATGATAAATACTGATATCATGATAAATACCATGATAAATACTGTTGTCATGATAAATACTGTCGTCATGATAAATACTGTTGTCATGATAAATACTGGTGTCATGATAAATACTGGTGTCATGATAAATACTGTTGTCATGATAAATACTGTTGTCATGATAAATACTGTTGTCATGATAAATACTGTTGTCATGATAAATACTGGTGTCATGATAAATACTGTTGTCATGATAAATACTGGTGTCATGATAAATACTGTTGTCATGATAAATACTGTTGTCATGATAAATACTGGTGTCATGATAAATACTGTTGTCATGATAAATACTGGTGTCATGATAAATACTGTTGTCATGATAAATACTGTTGTCATGATAAATACTGGTGTCATGATAAATACTGATGTCATGATAAATACTGGTGTCATGATAAATACTGATGTCATGATAAATACTGTTGTCATGATAAATACTGGTGTAGGAATTATATCACCTGATTTAAAAATATCTACCCATATTGTATAGTGATATAATTTTGTCTACCTTTCTGTACTCTAGCTCTGTAGGATTATGTCTCTGTAACCATTCTTTAATAGGTCTATCTTTAAACGACCCTGTTACTCCACTAGATATCTGTATTTTACGTAGTGTATCAGATTCAGTTACCAATTCTATTATACCTGTAATATTACATTGATACAAACATAAACAATTAATACAGGGTATACTTACTCTTCTAGACACCTGATACCACTTTTCATTATCAAATACTGACTGATTTATGACAGATATACTTCCTCATGTGAAAAGTTCATTAGCTGCTACCAATGTTTCGCCAATATG